TATCGATTATTTTCGTTGTCTAAAGAGGGAATATTTTTGGTGTGTTCACACCGAACATACTGTGCCGGAAAGGGTTAAAGAGCTAATATAGTATATGTAAAACAAAATAATGGCAACTCTTAACACTTTATCTGGAATTTAAAAATTTGTGAGATTTTGTTACAGAATTTTATATGGCACAAGTGCAAAGAAAGAAATATTTAATAAATAAAGTTAAAAAAAACAACTTTAGGTCATTTTATATATAAACTGGAGAATAACAGGATGAACTGACAAAAGCCTAAAAATAAACAATATATATATATATATATACATACCACATTTGTTCTAAAATTATTGTAAAATTAAAAGTAGCACATGACAGTTATTACTTAACATATTTGCATATCATATATGATATGTTTCAGTTTCCCTCTGTGGGCCCAACATATCATATGTGATACAGGAGCAAAAGTATCACTGGTTGCTCAGCATATCCTATTTGATATCCTGAAAAGGAATGTTTTATTTGACATTTTAGAAATGCATAAATAATGTCAGAATGCTGAGAAACAGAACCCTTTTAGTATTAGCCTTGTAAGCTTACAATGTGCAATCAGAATTTAGAATTGTTTCATGCAGTGCAAATGGCTTAAAATTTGGTACATAAATACAGTAATAAGATTAATGGTCACTGATATTAAATTTCTAAGCTTTTTACTTCATTATTTTATGGAAACAATTTAAATATGCGAATATAATCATCATTATTACTATTGCACATTAACTTATTTTTATTTTAATTATTAAAATAAAGTTCATATTATAAGAAATAATATTTAAACAACATATACAAGAATCCAAATATTTCAATAAAAAGCAAATTATTTTTGTATATTAAGCTTGACTGCAAAATGTGATTGGGCACACAGCGATGTTCAGAGCTGCAAGGTAATGCATGCATGTGTTATGCAAGAAATATTATTTCAGTATTAACATTTTTAACTACTGTCTGATTTATTCCTTAAATTCACTCTCTTTCTGCTGCTGGACGGAAAAAAAAAAAAAAAAAAAAAAAAACTCTTATGAAAATATCTGAACTCTTTAGGTGACTGTAAAACTAAGGCCTTAAGTTAGATTAAATTACATAAATCATCAACAGAGTAAAATAAAGTTTATGATTTTGAATCTCATGCTCTTTAAGTCAGTACTGAAAAGATAATATCCTCCCTGGCTTTTTGGTAAAATCAAAAGATTACCTTTCAATGAAAAAAATGTGAAAATACATTTCAGTAACAAATTCATCAACATGCCATCTCTTCCTAAAATAAAATTAAATCCACTGACTTTCCTTCCAGAAAACACATAAATTTCAGTACAACCCAGAAACGCTTTTCTTTTAAATATATTACAGAACACTTCAAAACACCAGGGAAAGATATATCGCACAACTAAGAAGTCAACGCACCAGTTCAGATAAATTAATTAATTCAATCGTATAGTTACAACACACTTAAAATTAATTACCCTACTACCTGCTAACCAGGTTTGAATTGAAAAGAAATAACCATGTTTTCCGTAAGTATCACATGGGTGACCTACAGTAAACAAGATAAAAACTCGAATAAAAAACATACAATAATAAATCAATAAAAACGTTTATTAAGTCTTCCATAAAAATTATAATTTTAGATAGTTTAGATTACTGGATCCAGGTACCTACAACATTTTTTTCTCAACTGCCTAAACAACTTACATTTTAATTCCCTAATACAAAATAATTTACATTTGGAGTAATGAAGAATTTATCTTTTTCCACTAAAAGGAAACTTAAGTATAATCACTTATCTCTCATTACATATATAAATATTTCAAATCCTTTATTTCAAGTGAATGACAAAACATTAACCTAATAATCTTTTCACAAATACTTAAATCAATTAAATGCAATAAGTTTGAGAATACATAGTGATATAGAAAAAAATCAACTCACAACAGAGGGAGGATTCTGATTAAGTTTTCATATCTCTATTATAAACCTAAACGCACATTAAAGAAAGTTAAAAAATTCTTCTTCATCAAGGCCACATGAATTGGTTAATTCACCTGCTAACGCTGCCTCAAGGATGCTGCCCTTCTGTATGCAAGGAAGTCCAACAAGAAGAACTTAACATGAATTCTGAACCATTCTATTTCCAGTCACTTAACCACAGATCCATGATTTGATACTCCCAATGACAACTACAGACATGAAAATGACAACAGGAGATGACGACTCACTCGCTTCTAAATTTCCATCAGTAATCTGGATATGCAGTACTAGCATCCTAAATAAATTTCCAACAAGAAAAAGAGAAACCAGTGATGAAATCAAAACCAAAAAGCCCAAGAACTGCTGTTCAGGAAAAATGCAGCCCCAGTTCTACTAACACAGGCGCTGATAAAAGTCACGATGGCATTCCGCAACGCGCTCGGATCAGTCCACGCAGCCCAGAGCCATGGGGAGGCAGTGATAAGCTCTTTTTTCTCCCTCTACAGTTCTTTCAGAAAAAAGAATCTGGAAAAATCCTCTTCTACATCTTGTGCAACCACTTTTAACCTATTCACAACGGCGCACCTTTGTTTAAGACACTTGTGCAGTACGGAAGATAATCGAAGGCCTTACATGACAGAGGTTTTGCATTGCTAAGCCTAATTTTATTTAAAAAAAAAAAAAAAAAAAAAAAAAAAAAAAAAAAAAAAAAAAATTCAGAAAAAAAAAGTTTCACTTAGAGCATCGTAATTTTTTATATATGTTAAAATTAGCACTTAATATTATAATCTTTATTTTACATGAAAATATACTTAAAAATTTCCTTATGTTGTAAAATAATTTTCAGAAGCGCTATTCAAATTATTCCAAAGTTTTAACTGATATAATCCATCAGTAAAGTTTAAAATTTATAAAACAACACAATAAAGACTATTTACAGTAAGAAGTAACAAAATTAAAATGAAGACTGAGTGTGGGAAATCTCGAAGTACGGAGAAAAATCTCTAAATCTTAGAAAAAGTACTACTTTCTAACTCTTTACAAAAAGAATCTTCACTCTCTTCTGCATTACTAAATGGTTCATTAACCATACGAGGCTATTCTTCTTCTGATAAATAGCGCCTTCCTGCCATAATAGACTGGAGGTGAGGCTTTTCGAAATAAAAGGAGAAGAAACGGAAATATATCTGAAGGCAATGCAAAATGTAACATAATTCCACATAGTAACCCTAAAAGACCATATACAGTATAGGAAAAAAATAGAATAAAAAAAGGAATTGGATATAAATCAGACACACGAATATTTATATTAGCACACAGCGATTTAAAGAGCCCACGTCTGTTTAGGCTTTCCCTCCTCCCTCACCCTCACAACAGTTGATGAGTAAAATACCAAAGTCAGACAAATTTATATCAAACTCAAGGTCGGGAACCTAAAACTCTGTTCATTTCAAAAGTAATGGACATAGGATGCCATCTAATGGCCTTCAGAAAAACGTTCCAGCTTAAAATGGATATACGCATCACCCGTCCTCTGAATGCAATCTCTAGTGATGGGACGCCCAGCTGTAAGAGACGTTCTTAGGTAATGCGTATATGGGACGCCCATCCTGAAAGTGTTAAAACCTTGGTAACATTCAAAATGTCAACCGCCTTGATATTCACTACTGACTCAAAATATCAATAAAATTAAATCTATAAAATTGAACACAATACTTGAACCCTCTCTAACCAACTAGAACAAAGGCAATAATTAGCCTCCAAAATTTGGATAAAAATCAGACCCCTCTTTTAAGTGACATACCCATTTCCCCGTGCAGACAACATGGAATGTTTACAACCCATAATTTTGTCAAGTGTGACACCCATTAGAACTGTTTGCCTCCAAATGAGCAAAACATGTGTTCAACCACGAAATATAAGACTGGAGAAGGCAGCTGGCGGGCGACCTTTGGCCTCAAAGTGATCACTTCGTGAAAAACGAAAAACATCACCCTTCTTTAGCTGTACAAGGCTTTCTGCTAGCTAAATAAGAGCTTTACGGTATGGAAACAAAATATGAGTTTAAACAATACTATATATAAAAAATTAATTCTCAGATATTAACATTAAAAATTCACTATTTACTCTAAATTAATATATTAACAAGCACTGTAAAATAATATTTAACAATTCTAAACAATACATGGGGAATTTCGTTTTCTCGACATCAGGAAAGAACAGGTTAAGTTTGATTCATTACCATTCTTATCATTCTTATAAGACTAAGCTGCTTGCTATAGTGATTTAATTAAGATTGCTCCTTGGCACTGATTAGTCAGATATATGACATCTTTGTTAGAATTTTTTTTTTTTTTTTTTAGATACGAGGAAAGAAACCTGTTTTGTACATAATTAACTGTGATTTTTTTTTTAACTTATCTTCAATAAATGGTACTTTTTAATTTTGATCTACAAATAAATAATAAATTCTAATACATTAAAAATTTTTCACTACAATCTTATACTATTAGTATTATTTCTAAGTTAAATTTAAATAAATGTATGTTGTTATTACTTAATAACTCATCTGGCATAAGATATGGTTGGATGAACAATTTATTAAAAATTAATCAAAACTTACAGAATAAATTTACAGTCATAATTATGACTGTGAAACTTAATGAACATTCAGAAATTGTAATATTTATGTGATCATATATTTCTTCCTATATTACAGTAACATATATAAAAAATACAAAATATAATCAAACCTCCTGTTAGTGGACAAATAAGGCCTTTGTCCACTATGAAGGAGTGTCTACAAAATGGAATGTACTGATTTCTTACTTTGAGCATCTAATGTTTCAGGAATTGTTCATTAATAGGGGCTCAAATATATCTTATTTTGAATTTAGATTTAAAATAATTAAATAACAACAATGACAATAATAATTACAAAAATCTTAACAAATACACAGAATATATCAAAGGTTTTTTTAATTTTTACCATATCTCCTGGGCGATCAGAAAATCCACCTGTTTCTTCATCTTGTGATGCCAGAATAAATTTTATTAATTTATCCTACAAATATATAGTTATACAGAAAATTACAGGCAAAACAAATTATATATATATATACACACACACACACATATACATGCTTTCTTCACACACTTATAAAAATATGAATTTTTTAAACATAACAAATTTTAAATTTACACATTTTGATAAAAAGTTCCATTTTTTCATAGTATATTACAATAATTATTAACAGAAAATTATTATCATTTGTGAAACAAGAAAATTATGGTAAAGGTCAAATTTTATTATTCAAATATGAATATTTTTTAGATATTTAGAAATAAAGCAGTCTCCAGCTTACTTTATCAACCCAGTGAAGCCTTCCAATAATTTTTAATGATGCTAAAACCCACCATGAATAACACACATCAGGAAGTTTTTCTGGCCTACCTATTTCGAAAAGATGTAAAAAATTACCTTAATGTCAGTACATATAAATATCTATACATTATTTCAATGAAAGAATTAAAATATATATACCATTTAGACCCCCTGATGGAAGTTGTCTTTCACATAACCACCAACCTAATAAATCTGCATTTACATGATGTAGCTCATGAGCAATTGACAATATACCTAAACAGCAGTACACCTAAAAATCATTAAAATTAAAAATCTTACATTTTAATTATTTTCAATCAAATGAAAAACTTACAGCAAACAATAAAAATAATGCATAAACTATATACAGGAAAACGATCCCTATTTTGATTATCAATTTGTGTATTGAAATAGTGATTTTGATAGTCTAAGGCTGCAATTTTTATCCTGAATGTTGCATATATCAAAACAAAAAAGCCTGCATTTATCTATGAGACATTCCATCTTGCTCGTATCAATAATCTAGAACCTAACATTTCCATCTAAACAATAAGTATTCGCTGTTATTATGATCAGAATTGCTGATCACACTTTAAGAGGTGATAGAACATAATAATTTTTATAATACAGTGCATGGTGCAATGTGAAATTTGAATTCAGCTAACACAATAAGTACAAAGAATATCTTAGCCAAAAACAAACATACACACACACACCAAAAAAAAAAAAAAAAAAAAAAAAAAAAAATCATGGATAATTAGTAAAAATGTGAAACAAGCAGGACAAAAAGCCATTGTAATCATGGATATTTAAAAGAAATAATATTTGATAGCAACAAGAATTGTTTAAATAACTAGCAATTGCAGTAAGTACATCACAAGAATGATGGATGTTGTTTATGAGACATAAATTCATTGCTGCAGAAGTATGCAACAGCCAATTAACTTTCAAAGTGTCAAAGTATGATCAGAATTGCTGATCACACTTTAAGAGGTGATAGAACATAATAATTTTTATAATACAGTGCATGGTGCAATGTGAAATTTGAATTCAGCTAACACAATAAGTACAAAGAATATCTTAGCCAAAAAACAACATACACACACAAAAAAAAAAAAAAAAAAAAAAAAAAAAAATCATGGATAATTAGTAAAAAAAATGTGAAACAAGCAGGACAAAAAGCCATTGTAATCATGGATATTTAAAAGAAATAATATTTGATAGCAACAAGAATTGTTTAAATAACTAGCAATTGCAGTAAGTACATCACAAGAATGATGGATGTTGTTTATGAGACATAAATTCATTGCTGCAGAAGTATGCAACAGCCAATTAACTTTCAAAGTGTCCAAACCAATCACTTCTGTCATTAAAATGCACATATTGCAGCTTGTGGTTATTTACTTAAACAATTCTTCTAAATATCAATCATTATATCTTGCATATATCTATAATAAAATGGATATTTTATTCTTCATGTTCTTCATATTCATTGTTTTTCAATGGTCCCATTTCTCATCCCATAGCACAGTGTTATAAAAATTGATTTTGGCATTTCCATCACTCCTTAAAATATGATCATTCATTCTTTTATATATTGTAAATATATTTCATTTAAAAATCTTATTCTAAGACCTTTGAATAATAAAATGATAAATTAAAAAAATATAAAAATAATGGCAATGTGTTCCCATACTGCTGCAACTACTACTTCTGAATATAGCTATTAGTTTAGCATAGGCCTCACAATACAGAGAATGTTTACACATTTTAGAATGATTTTAAAGCTGTTTAGTTGATGTTTAAAATGTAAAGAGTATTACTTTAAATGATCGATCTGACACTTTTTTTTTTTTTTTTGTTGTTGTTGTTTCTGGACTGCATCCTGATTTCCATAGCAGAAGGGCTTTTGTAAAATTTCCAGGGGTAATGACTTCCACTCCTCTTTCACTATTTTCCAAAGTCCATCAATTAAGCAGGGTTTATGCTCAGAAAGAGCTCTTTTCAAGAGACCAAAGGCACAATAGTCCATAGGACAGAGGCCCTAAGCATTTAAAAGGTTTGAAAGGTTTTTTTTTTAAAACTAGTGACCGTACATAAATTTATGCCTATTTTTCTCCATTCCTTCTCTCTTGGTCAAGGTTTACCTGCACCATACATTCCATGATAAAACTGATAATGGGGAAATTTTTTTGGTGCCAGTTTTCCTTGACTCCCTACACATGTGTTTACTTTGTTTAAAACAGTTAATCCAGTTCTACCATGTGGGAAATGCCAGGGAACTTTGCAGGAATATGTTAAAAATGGTACATATGCAAGGATATATGTGATACCAGAATCAGTCTTCATTTTGTTTCAAGGAATGCAGTGGCACTTTTTGAAGTACGACCTGCTGCTTTGTCTTCATGAAGTTTCCCTCTTTGAAAGCCATTGGGATAAAGAAATGGAATTTCTTCTGTAAATATTGGAACATATATAAAACTTTCTTTTGATAGTACTTTGAGTTGATTTTAGCATTTTTTTTTCACTGTTCTTACTTTCAATTTCCCAATGTAAGAGAATCCCGCAACAAATCATAAATACCTTACTTGAAACTTCAACATTGTTGGAACATACATTTCGCTCATTGTATCTAATAATAAATAGACCTTTTTTTGTTTCAGTCATTTAAGTAAACCTACGCTTCATTAATGATCACAATGTATTTCCCAATGTATGTCCATTTATCTCCTGCTAAACTGTTTTCATACAAGGTTCTACAAATTGTTCTGCGTTGAGCCACATGCCTCAGCAAAAATTGTTGAACAATATGTTTTAGCCTTTTTTTAAGTTGTAAACCTTGGTCTATTATTTTATTTATTGTTGCTACAAATGTATTTAAAGGCTTTGCAAATGTTTTCTGCATCGGTGGCTTTTCTCTTATCACCAACAATTTACTTTTAGAAACATTAAAAACAGTATGTAGCTTTTTTCAGTATTCGTTTGGAGTCTTCTTTCCATGTGTAAGTAACGACTGATAGTTTTTCCCTTTCTGTTTAATAATGTTGCTTATTTTGTATTTAGAAATTTTTATACCATGCCATTTTACAATGTTTTTGAACTACAGAATGATGTTCTTCTTCGGAAAATGCGAATACATATCCTTCAATCCACAGTTTATTTACCTGCAGCATTTTGAAGGGAAAATAAATTTAAAAGCAGTGGATGATATTTTCCACTTAAAATAATAAGCTGATTTTTATTTTAAAAAATATACTTTTTTTTAATTATCAAAATCAGTCTAAAAATGTGTAAACATCCTCTTTATCTCATATGATAATTAAATTCCTGATTAAAAGTGGTAAAGTGTTTTGAAGATTGTAAAATATTTGATGTTCTCATTAAACAAAACGACGTGTGACATTTTTGGATCAAAAAATCCCTCTTAAGACGATCTTATTGATAAAGATTTTAGAGATAATTTATTGATTGATATATATCATTTCATGAACTCTTTCTACTAGCAACTCCTCATCTCTAATATGTGTTAAGATGAATACTTCAAGTCCAAATATAATATTTTGAAGGGTTAAGTAAAAAGTCATTGTCTGCAGCAAAATGTCGTCCTGATGATAGTGAGCTTTCAGTTAGAGAGAGAAAAAAAAAAAAAAAAAAAAAAAAAAAGAAATGTTAAGTTTTGGTTGCAGTTTGGGAAAGGAGGATTAAGTTATTAAAAATACTGTATTTTTTTTTTTTTTTTTTTTTTTTTTTAAATGCTGAGAAAACAAAAATGCAAGTAGTTTTGTGAAAAAGTGTTACCAAACATAAATTTGAAACTTTATATGCTTTACTAATGAAATTGTTTAAAAATATTTGTGTTTACATGTATGTATGTGTATCATATAAAAGTATGTATGCATATCATTCTGAATTATTTGAAATTATTTTGAATTTACTCAATAGTACTGCCTGGATTTTTGAAAACTAGTTTCAGTCACTCCCAATAAGAGATTCAATTTCTGGAACATCAACTGATTCATCTTACCATCTCTGTTATCAAATGAGGGGAAAGGCATAGCCAGTATACTAAAAAAAGTGTTAAAATATATCCTACAAAAATTTTATATTAAAAACAGTTTTTATGCTAGAAACATCATGAGCATTTTATTGGATCCTAGGTCCAGAAGTTCTCTGCATTGTAATGAGGCTTTGGCTGCAAGCACAAATGCATTCTTTCTAATTGAGATATCTGCTATATGCAAATTACTCATCAACTTATTAGCAAATAAATCAGAGTCAGTAGTTCCCCCAACACAGATCTTTCACATTTATTTTGATTTTGTTGTTAATTTTTATACAATCTCAGGTCAGTCAGGAATAATATTTTAATTTATTTTATTTTAATATTTTTTTTTAAGTTAAAGAATGAAAATATCATTTTATTTAATCCACTGAACACACATTGACTGACATATCTGGCAACATATATTTTTGACTGCACTGCATGATGACCGTATTTCTATTGGGTAATGGTGCTCTAAATTGTCTTGAGTTGAAAAGTGTACTTCAAAGTGAAAAAATTGTAAAAATTAAAAAATATTAAAACATGGTTTGATTTAAAGTTAATGGAGAGTTAAACCTTAGGTTCATGCTGAGTATGTGGTTTGAAATTCAGGAAAAACTAAACCTTAAGTCAATTTTAACAATGCTGTTGTATGTATTAACAGAAAATTAGATAGAGGTTTCAGGAATTTAATTATCATATGAGATAAAGGGAATGTTTACACATTTTAGACTGATTTTCATAATTAAAAAAAAAAGTAAAACTTTGAGCAATGTTTTACTTTCCATCTTATTATCAATCATATACTTAAATGCCCTCTCTCAAGAGTGTGTAATCTCAAGAGTGTGTCTCAAGAGTGGAAGGAAATTAAAACAGATTTAATTAGCTTTGCCAGTATGGAATATTTCTGTTTTCAATCTTTTTTTTAACTTGAATACTTCAACACAAAAGTTTATACCATCAGTTTTTTTCTGTTTCCGGATAAGACAAGGGACTATCTGTTTGATAGATTTTTCACTCTTTGGCCCAACAGAAACTTTTTTCTTCACCTGAAATAATAATTGGTAAAATTACCTTCAGTTTCACTGAAACAATAAACTAAGTTGTTTCACTATGCAGAACAGGATTCATGCCATTAAATTTGATAAAGGCATGCACGCTTCTCAAGGTGTAATGTCTTTGTAATACAGTCAACACATTCTATATATGATTCTTTCAGGATACATCGT